TCACTTTTGTTCACTGTCTGTTACTGTCTGCCTGTCCATCGCTCTGTCTTTATACCTCTATATCTTACTTTTAGGACTCACGAGCCACAGTTGCAACACCATGTGGCACAGAAGAAAATTCCCTATGTGAACACACAAGGACAGCTAATCAAACCTGACAAACCCAATGGAATTAAGATGGAAAAATTTGTCTTCGACATATTCCAGTTTGCCAAGTTAGTGTCCGGACTTTTTTCCGTTCCTGTTTTTAGTATGTGTGCTATTGGCAGGAAGGGTCCTCATTTACACCTGTTTCATAGGTGTTTTAGGTATTTTACAGGTTTTATACAATATGCACAGTGTGTAGACAGTACAGTGTACTCATGTCATTCTAAAATTCCTCTGAAAAATGAAAAAAGGGTCTCAAAATGTCATAGATTTGAATGACACCCTTGCTAATCCTAAGGCTAATCATATACAAAACAAGAATATAATTCATAACATCTTTTCTGTATGCTGAATAGTTTAAAATGATATTGAGTGTACTGGATTAAAGGGACAGTTCACCCAAAAATGAAAATTCTGTCATTAATTACTCACCCTCATGTCGTTCCAAACCTGTAAGACCTTCGTTCATCTTCAGAACACAAATTAAGATATTTTTGATGAAATCCGAGAGCTTTCTGACCCTCCCATAGACAGCAACGCAACTGACACGTTCAAGGCCTATAAAGGTAGCAAGGACATTATTAAAATAGTCCATGTGACATAAGTGGTTCAACCTTAAGCTACCTTGTATGAAGCTATGTTGACTGACACAGAAGAGAAGAAATTGTTGAATAAAGTCATTATTTTGGTTTTCTTTGCACACAAAAAGTATTCTCATAGCTTCCTAAAATTAAGATTGAACCACTGATGTCACATGGACCATTTTAACAATGTCCTTACTACGTTTCGTTGCTGTTTATGCAGGGTCAGAAAGCTCTTGGATTTCATCAAAAAATCTTAATTTGTTTTCTGAAGATGAACAAATGTCTTACGGGTTTGGAATGACATAAGTAGTGACAGAGTTTTCATTTTTGGGTGAGCTGTCCCTTTAAAATTGTCAAAATCAAATCAAAATATCAAACACTTCCAGGTTTTTTTTTTTTTTTTTTTTTTTGTGGATACAAATTAAACTATTATTGGAAAATCTAAATATCTTATACTCTCCAGTTTTTTGTTTTTGTTTCAAACTTTGCTTCAGGCTTGTTCAATTAGTTATAACTTATTGAAACATTGTTTGTGTATGGCAGAACATTTGTGGTATATGAAGTTCTGAGAGAAGACGAGTTTTCTCCATTGAAAAATGCAGACAGTCAAGATGGGAAGGACAACCCTACTACAGCCCGTCAGGCCCTCATGTCCCTGCATCACCGCTGGATCTTAAATGCCGGAGGACATTTCGTTGATGAGAATGGAACCCCTATACCTGCTATACCCAGGTGAGACATGCACACCAAAATGAAAATTCTGTCATTAATTATTCACCCTGGTGCTTTCCCAAAACTGTATGCTATTATTTTTTTCCATGAAACACAAAATGAGAATTTCTAAAGAATCATCACACAGCTCTTTATTTTATGTTTTAAATAGATCTTTTATTTATTTGTTTGTTTATTTATTTGGTCATCTTAACAGCAATCATGTCATGTATTGAAAATTCTCATTTTGTGTTCTACTGCAAAAATAATACCATACAGGTGTGGAGCAACATAAAGGTGAGTAAATGATAACATAATTTTCATTTCCAGCTCTTTAAACCCAAATTTCCTTCCCACCTGTGTTCAGTTTCACTCCCCTTTATCTTTAGCTATAGTGTAACCACACTATATTTCCTGTGTAACATTTCTAGACATGGACCAGCAGGGACAGTCACACCTGAAGTCAGCCAGAAGTAACTATTCTCACAGTCGTATGTAGTGCATGGTGATGGGGCTTCGCTCTTAGTAGATTCCGTGTAGCTGTTAGAGCTCAGTGGGAGAAGGTGTCCAATCCCAGATGGCCGTGGGAAAGGTTGGCGTCTTTAAATTGGCTCTGACCCAAACAGCAGCTACTAACGGGCAGAATAATATGCATGCTGGGAAATGGGCATCAGGCATGCTGAATGGAACAAGGCTGCTCATCATTATAACAGATAATCTGGTTTAGGTCCTTATAATCAAGTTTTCCTCAACTGCAAAGTTACAGAACTTTGTATTATGAATATTTAAATGTATTCAAAATGTTTGCATTGTGCATACATTGATTGTGGTGATCTAAATTGCATCTAATGGGTGAATCATTTGTAATTAATTTATTTATCATTAATTTATTTTGATTACTGAAGCAAAAATATCTCTTTTTTTTAATTTGTTAGTTTAAACTTAAGTTTTATTTTGACTTGATTTGACCTCTAAAATTATTTAATATCGTATATGACATGATTAATGCTTGATCTGGCAATGCCATACATATAAAAATCTATAACTTTTTTTGGTGCCGCAGCCTGAAGGATGGAACAGACCTGCCAATCAAATGTGAGATCTCTCCTCTCGTGTCTTATGGTGGAGAGGTAAGAATCACAAAGGCCTATTTTAATTTGAATATCAATCCCAGAGTATTTTTATTTAATATATTGTTTAGGTGCAAGAAGAAAATAAAACATTTTAGGCTTCATACTCTACTTGCTAGTTCCTGTTTCAAAAAATGAATAGCCTGTCTTGTTTCCAAGGGGTTGGAGCATCTTGTGAATGGAAAAGCTTTCCAGCCCACTCTAGTCATCGATGAGAACGGCGTCCACGAGCTTGTGAAGAACGGCCTGTGAACCTCGAGCCATGAAGGCTCTTTATCTCTTCATCTTCATCTTCATCTTCATCTCACTTCCTGCCAGGGTGGAGGAAACCGTGAAATTCTTGTGCAATAAAATGAACGAAGGGTGCCAGAAGGCTAATCACAATCAAATCACTTTAGAATCTATTTATTTTGCGAAGACTTTTTTATATTAAGGTGCAGTGCTTTTTTTCTATAACTAGAACTTATGAGTTCAGCCATTTAATTTATATATAGATGTATCAAATGATACACAGTGCATGAATGGTCACTGCTAAGATTTTAGGCATTTCTGCTTTATCTGTTCCACTCTCTAAAAATGTAGATACATGTAAAACAAAGTTTGGTCTTCTCTATGGATGTCTGTTTTTGACGAGAAAAAGTGAGTGGGAATGTGACATTGCATCAGACTTTCCAGCACAGGGTTTATGGGAGAGGTTCTGATTGGTTGGAATCAGTTGCTGCCAATGACAGTGTGCACTTTGAGACACCTTCTCTCTTTTACAGTCTACCTAATTCACTTTTCTGATTAGCCTTTGTCTGCACCATCTATGTTTGTTTGTGCACATCCATGTATAAAATAATTTATCATGACGAATGATTCATTGTTTGTTTACCTTAATTTCTGTATGCTTTTCTCAGTTACCATTTATAGGAATGTCTTGACTTACATTTGCACAAGATGCATGGAAATTGGAAAATTACATTACATATAATTTGACATTTGAGAAAATTGCTGCAATTTTCGCATTCACATTAAAGCAGAGACAAATGCTTCCTGGTTTCAAGCATGTGATTACTATAAACAGACGTATTTGGAAATCTTTTTTTAAGCGTGGTATTTTTTGTCTTCCTTTTGGATATGTTGAAAATATCTTCTCGGAATTCTTGGATTTGTGTTGCCTTCAATTGGCAATGAAAGTATCAGTTCCTGCCACTTAATTTGGTTCTCCAGGAATTCTGAGATGTTTTGTACCCTAATACAAAAAAAAAAAAAAACCTGAATAGAGAAATGTTTTTAAACATTTTGAAGTGTATCTGTTTACACTAATCGCATGGTTGAATCTGGACAGTGTTTGTCTCGTTGCTATAGTGAAAAAAATTAATAGCAATATGCCTTGACCTACTGTAGGCCCATGCATCAATCTCAATCCCTGAATAAACAAAGCTCAGAAATTAGAGAATAATTTCTTGGAAAATGAATGTGCAGTGTTGCAATCATGAGGATACATTTAATGGAAGGCCTCTAAGATTTAAAACTAGGTTGCCTGCACAGATGTTCATTGTTCAAGATCAAATATAGACAATCCACAGTCTGGGTCTCTTTTTATCCTGTCACTTTTCTGTACTTGAGGAAGGTACATAAACCCAGGCAGATGGTTAGTGCAAATAATGTACTGTTGGTGGTTTTGGATAATGACAAGTGACTCAGGCCATTCTTTAGGCTTTTAATTTTGGGAAACTGTTTTGATTTTTAGTGGTAATTGATTTAGTGGTAAGCAGTGTACAGATTTGTGTAGATCAGTGGAGAAGTTTTGAATTTTTATTGCTTTTTTTCCCTATAACAATAGTTCTGTATCAGTTTTCCATCTATAAATTATAATTGAATATCCTGTCTCTAGCCAAAGCTAATGGTGAAAAAAAAAGGCAAAAAGGTTGGGACTGCTTTTCTCATCATCTTGCAGAATGATTTTCCTCTATAGAGATGGAGGATGGATTTAAAGGGAAAGCAAACTAAATTCACAGAAGTCACTGAGAACTACCTAACAATCACTTAAACCACCTTTTAAGGTTAAAAAAAATACTTAATGGGCATTTTAATCACACTTTATATGGATGAACAGTTCCAACTACAACAACAACAGTTACAACTAGATTTAGCTGTGGTATCAGCTCCCATCCTATCCATACTTTTCCAAGAATTGATTAATACTTTTTATAAGCAGGATACAGGACAATAAATGCAAAGAAATGTACACAGGGAAAGAAAAAATGCACTGCGCCTTCAATAAATTTTAAATAACTACCAGTAGTGAGAGCCAACATATGGCAAAGGAAAATAACTAGGATCATATGCACATAAAATGTTCAGAACATTCTGAAAGACATTATAAAGTTAATACTTGCTGTCCTGAATTTTGCCTTTTCTAAATGATGTTAGACTGTAAAAAAGGGAAAGAATATTCAAAATCTTCTCTGATTGGCCATTGGTCTGACTTAATTGAAACCTTCTGTATGGCACGAAGAATTCTGGGACTTTGGCATTTTCCCAAGAATCCTCAGAATGTTAGTTTTTTAGCCCGTCTGACTTAATTGAAACCTTCTGTATGGCACGAAGAATTCTGGGACTTTGGCATTTTCCCAAGAATCCTCAGAATGTTAGTTTTTTAGCCCGTCTCTCTCTCTCTCTCTCTCTCTCTCTCTCTCTCTCTCCGCTCTTGCTCTTTTTTTCCCCCTCATCCAGCGGTGTCTTACATCAGCTTACTGTGAGATCTGAAAGAGAGGTTCGGAGAGAAAGAAAAAGCCTTGTTTTTATCCTCCTGATTACACACACATTACTTGGAATTAAGAAATCCTTGGGAAAATGGTTTGAAAACAGCAGCCCAAGCAGTAAGTTTGCATACTGTCTCTTTTCTTTGTTTTATTTTATTAAAGAAAGTTCGATCATTTCCTTTGTTGGATTCAAGAGAATATGTATATGACTGATTATAATGATGTTAAGATTACTGAACGTGTATTAGTGCTGTTCCGTTGTCTTTTTGTTAAAACTTGCATAGCCCAGCCACTGTTTGCATGGCAGACTAAAATAGCGGATAGCAGAGCGACTTGATCCAGAGAACTTTTGCAAACCAGCTGTTCTGAATTGACTTTTTAACAAGGTAGTTATCGTATGTTCTAGCTTGTTAAATTTCACGAAAGTGTACTCAAAATACTTGCTCGGATATATTTTGCTCGGAAATTATGCATTACTGTAGCCTATTAGTTCCTCCTGTTGTCCCTCAGGACTGTCTTCCTCTTATTTCCTTAACTTTTCTATCCAGCTTTGTCAAATTAAAAATGGGCCCCTTTCATAGTTGTCAGATTAAGAATACAAATTTTGTATTAGAAAGCTTTCTATAAGTTAACATGAGGATGCTATTTCCTAATTCTAATGAGTTTGAATGGTGGCTGTGATAAACACACACAAAAATTTAAGTACAGTGACTTAAATATCTGTAAGAAGTATCTGGACAGTTGAGCCTCTCAAAAAAAAGTATAATATTTTTAATATTTTGATAAGCACATATTTTAAGCAAAACAGTTCACAAAATTGAAATAGGCCTAGTTTTAAATTGTTTATGAAACATACTGTTCAAAATTATGATGCCAAGTATTTAGACTTTTTTTTCAGTCTTTAAAATTTTTTTTTTTTTTTTTCAAACTTGGTATATTCATCATAAATTATGAATTTACACCTGTTGTTGCTTGCTAGGACCACCTGTGTGAACTTGAGGTGAACCGACTTCATACATCCTCTAAAAATCACCTTGAGACAGATTGGTTTATGAGAAAAGCTGATTTGTTTGTCACTTGTTTTGACATTTTTAAATGTAATTTAAATACTTTCGAGGTCACTGTATATCCTTGCACTGTGCAACTGAACCTGGTGTGTGTAGGACATAACCTCACTACCGGCGTTACACATTGATGACCTTTCCAAGACGTCAAACTGCGTATAGACGTCAGTTTATATATCCTTAATTTACGTAAGCATTTAAGAATCCAAAGCTTTAATTTAAGCCAAAGATGTTTTCTTTTTGTTTTGTTTTTCAGCAAACGGCTGATCGGTGTATCAGGATACTGAATACAATGAACATTTGAAGTAATATTGCTTTAAAACGTTTGCTTCATATTCACATTATGTAATTCAACTACCTGCCAGATGCAGTAAGAGTCGATTAAGATTTTCAAGCCTGATTGATGGATAATTTATGTGTAATTCAGCTTAGTGCTTGCATATCTTTTTGGTGCGAGCAGGGTAAGGAGTAATAGAAATCCTGTATGACAATATCTTCAATATCTTTCAGACCACTTGGTGGATCAAGAGATGGCGCAGAGACTGCTGATACATATCGAATAACTCTGAATACTTCATTTTAAGCCAGGCCTTTAGTACTAATATGTATTAGTACCATATTAATGCATTTACATATTTTTTTGATGCTTACATTTCAAAGCTATTAATAATTAACATTGAGTCATTGTACATTACATTATAATTTTACTTGGAGTTTAATATGGGACTGTGAAACTATTCAACCATTCTTTTTAACATTTGGTTGCAGGTAATTTAATACTCTATTTCTTACAAAAAAAGATCAGAAAAGACTTCACTTTTCTCACTTGTTACACTGATGTAAGATTTTGAATAGGTAACAGAATATGTTTGTGTCCATATACCTTATACTTTTCTGATTCTTCCTCCTTAACCTGAATTAGTCTGGATACACAAAGAGAAAAAATATGTACAGTGTATGCATTTTTGCATGTAATGAAATCATATATGAAAACTTGCAAGCAGACAATGCCTGTAATTAATTGCTGCAGTTGATTTATATTCTGTTTTGCATGGCAGACTGTTTTTATCGTATAATATGAAAACAGCCCTCTTAATCATAAAATATATATATTTAAAATGTATATTTTTAAAGTTGATTAGCATTAAACTTTTTTTAGCTTAAATCTGCTCTTTTGGAAATATGTTTCATTGACGTTTCAGGAAGAAAGCACCCACTGCTTGCTTTGAGTCTTGTATGATTCATGCAACACTTCGTAAACTAACTGTTGCTTTCAGAAAGGAAATGGAAAAGGTTTTTTTCCACTGGCGAAGTTGTTAGGTGTAATTTAAGTCAGAAAGCTCAGGAGAGAGTAGATGTTACATTCCAGTGTGTTTTGTGCAGGTGCACAGATGAAGTTCACCAGAACTATGAGCCACTGGACCATATTGCTTTACACCGTAAAAAGCAGTCTAAAAAAAACGAACGTGATCTTCAACTCTAATTACTTCTGACTGCTTATCGTGGTTTAAATTGCGAATGATTATGCAATGCCTCAAAGCTCTGTTGTCTCACAAAGAATATTTCAATATTTTAAGATTAAACAGTCAAGATTTTATGACTAATTGTTTTTCGAATCATTTTCATACCTCCATTATTAGCAAACTTCAGTTTATACTGTTTGTGGCCCTTTATTCTTTATTCAATTTTGTCCAGTATTACACTTTTGTTTAAAAAGACAAAATGACGTTTTTCAGTCACCTGTGCTACCCCAAATAGGTTAGAAGAAAAGTTGAAAACATCTACTCATCACAAAACCTCATGATACTGTAACATGTGTCGTTGCACTTGCATCTGTTTTTGCTATCACCTGGCTCTAATTTTGCTGGAACTGCCATTTGATTTGGATTTATGCATTTCCATGAAAGTAAAATATCTGCAATGCTATGACCATTGCTTTAGGGAGGAATGAAAGAGGTTTCAGATGAAAAACACATGTTCTCTTCATACCTAAATTTACAGGTGTGTGAATATCAGCCTGACAAATAAGATCCATTCACTCCAGTGGTATGTAGTATGCTAAATAAAATGCACTATTGTAGTTGTGCTCATTTCAGATCTGAATTACACTAAGCTGCACTCTTACTCTGAATTATATTAAGCTACACTGACTGAAATGGTGTAGAAATTGCTAGTAAATTGCACAAACAATTTCAAAAAATGGCAAATAACACATTGAAGTAAACATGAAATTTTGAAGTAGAAAAACTGAAAAAGTGAAATAGTGTTTTGTTTTAAAACATACTCCAATCTTTGTTTTATTGATGACTTCTTTACGCTGTAGAAATGTTTGGAGGAAGTTAGTGTCATATAATCCTGAAGTAAGTCTCTAAACTGTGCAAGATTTTGAAATACATGATTGTGAAGTTCTCACTGCCATCATTTTTGAAGCCTATGATAAAATCCTGACAGTAAATTGCAGTGAGCAGTGAAGGGAGGCTCTAAAGCATAACCAAAAGTGCATATAGTTGTCTTGAAAGGTGGCGTTTGAAGAGCCCTTCACTGTCATTTTTGGGTTATTTGGTTGGTTAAGTGACGATCTCAGATCTTGGAACGCTCTCACTTACAGGGCCACAAATTGAAACCAGATTTTGACACTGATGTGCAATGAGATTTAATTGAGGCCTTTAGATAAAGTATGACCTATCTGTCTTCCAATCTCTTTTAAACTGTCATTAGCTTATGTGCTGTATTCTATAATGAGAGACTGGTTAGAGTTAAGATTTGTTTATGTTCAGAACAAAGTTTATAGGAAAACTATTAATTAATTTAAAACCTGCATATATTTTATTGTAAATTGTTAAAAATCTCTAGTTTTTGTTAAAAATATAGCATAACCTAAATACAATATATTTAATATATAATATTCTACTATATAATTATTTTAATGATGAGAAATAGTATAGTATGACCTAAAAACTAGTGTAACTTCATTTCGATTTAATATAAATTAATATATTATTTTAATGACTTACCAAGACTTCTTTAACACAGATGTGTGATGATTTTTAATTAAGACCTTAAGATATCTGAAGTTCTATGTCCTCCAATCTGAAGTTGTCATTTAGTTTATTTGCTGTATTCTTTAGCAGAGACTGGTTAAGAGTTAAAATTTGTTTATGTCTAGAACAAAACCTATATGGAGACTTAAAAATATAGGTTACCTTCGATAATATAATATAATACAACAATATAAAATAATATAGAATTATTTTAATGACTTAACCAGATTTTGAAATTGATGTGCTATGATATTTAATTAAGACCTTTAGATATGACCTATCTGTCTTCCAGTCTAAAGTTGTCATTTAGCTTCTCTGCTATAATGAGATACTGGCTAATGTTAGAGTTAGTATTTGTTTGTATAGAACAAAGCTTGTATGGAGACTATTGATTTAGTTAAACCTACAGTACATAAACTTTCATTGTTAATTTTTTGTTAAATTTGGTATAACTTCAATATAATATAATATGCTGTAATATAAAAAAATATATATGTTTGAATGATCTTTGAAGTGTAAGCATCGTATCAAATTACGTTGATCTCTGTCCATCCTGAAAAAGGTTGACACCTTTAAATATTAAAACATGGCTCAAGCATCCTCGATGTGGCACAGGAAAAAGTGCAGAACAATAAAAGCTTTGCATATAAAGTGCGATTTACTCTTTATTGCTGTGGTTTTCACAGCACATTAAGAAAACACTTACCTGTAAAATCCAGCATTCATCCCAAATGTTAATTTAACTGTAAAAATGGAGTAGCTTTTGCATACATACCCAGCTATGAGCTCCACTATTTAAATTCAAAGAGCACACTGTGTCCTCATTGCAAAATCACTGACACTATTTTTGACTTTCATTTCCTTTTTCCTGATATGGGCCTCATGCTGTTTATGAGGTAGCCAGGCTCTGTGCGAGGCCACGTTTTTACTTTAAAAGCGATCTTCACCTATTGCATGTGAATGATGTTGACTAAAGCACCTAGAAGACGTAGTGTAATGTGTAATTGACTCG